TTGGTCCAACTCACAATAAGGGTTTATGACCTATACCGCAACCAGCCACCAGGGGGGATCCATATGTGTTGGCTTCACTCTTGGGGTCATGCTTGTGTATTTCATGCAGTATTCTCCTGCCCTTCTGCCATCTTATACACCGGAGCACCACATTTTGCACTGGAAAACAATTTACTTGTTCTGACTCCATCTGTGCTCTCATCAGCCAATGATTTATCTCAGCTCAGAGGTGACAGGCTTGTCCGTCCGTCTGGTGCCCACAGCTGCAGACAGCTGCCCTAACATGGCCGCTCAACCCTGCACAGAACCCCCTGGCCCTGGCGACTCCCAGCTCATCACACACAGACACAGACACCGACACAGGCGGAAGGAGGGAACTCGGCGAGCGTGCATGTGTGTTTGTGATCGGTCAAGCGGCTCAGTTTGTGCTGCCCCTGGGCAGAGAGAGTGGGGGAGATAGAGAGAGAGGGGCCAGAGGATGGGTGGCGGTCGGGCCAAAGGGATGTTATCTCATCTCCCTTTGGGTGGGATCCAGGTCTTTGCAGGCCTGATGAGGAGAGGAGGAAATTAAACCGCTCGCTTTTGTTGTGGGTTTAAAGATCACAGAGGGTGAGGGGAGAGAATCTAGGGGGAACCTTGTATAGGAATAAATCAGTCCTTGTGTGTGTGTGTGTGTGTGTCAATGCTGGGTGGAGTGGGGTCATCAACTTTTCAAAGTAAAGCGATATCATCTTCCCTACCTCCGCTTGACCTTGATAAATCTCCGCCTTTGTAACTCAAACCACCAGAGACATGTTGCGTCTCACCTCCAAAGCACGCACTGTTGCCACTGATGTTGCCTTTCCTGTATGGTCGGTACCAGACGTGAGAACACGAGCAGGTCGTCCTCTGTCACACACTGTGCAGCACATTGTGAGCAGAGATTATTTGTTTTCTAACCGTTTCTCCTCAAGGCAGAATAATTACACCTCCCCAAGACACCACATGAAAAACACTCGAGTAGATTTTGTTTTTGTTTTAATTTACTGCTGTTGACATTAGCGAGGCTTCAGTGCATCCCTCTTGACATCCACAATTAGATTATGTCAAACACAACCTTCAATCATTTTTGCCGCTGCATTGAATTGCCAAGAATTCATGCTCAAACCGGTCTGAGTTATGACAGCATCTGATTCCCTGACGCGATGAATTCAATCAATCTGAATCTCTTATGAGGAGCTTTAATCCAAATTCAATTTAAGTGAATTTAAGTGTCACTTTATCTCTGAATTCAGTGTTTCAGCAGACAAGGGAAAGACCTTCAAACTTTTTCTCAATCACCCAAAACCTTTTTTACAGTTATTTCCACCTAAGAAGGACAATACCTTCTTAAAATCAACTTCTCTATGACCTTGGAAGAACCCAAAACATATTTTTTTTACCAATTCACAGACACTCACACAAAATAATAATCCTCTTCTCGTAGCGTCTTAGAACCCGGTCACACATTATCAGTTTAACCAGCCAGGAGATGGTCTTGTAGGTACACACAAACTATATATATATATATTATATGTTATAAATACAGGTTGTCTTAAATCAATGAAAGCTGCAATAACGATTTCTTGCCACTTGGGGGAAAAGCAGAACCACAGAAAAACGTGATATTTTCTTATTTCATAAAGTTGTTATTCTTAGATATAAACTTCAGGATTTCTTTTGAATTGTTTCTGGCCGAGCAACAAATCCATTCTTCACTCTCCTTTCTGTTCTGTTCTGGTATCCACCACCTGAGCTGTTTTCGCAATGTGATGATTTTGCAAAGTGAAAAATGAAAACTGAAAGACGCTAAAACGCTCCAGTTTTAAGTCAGTTGAAATTGGTCCACATGCCCAGTGGAAATAAATAAGAGTAGAGACAAGTTACAGACGAATCCACCAGAGGTTCAGTTTAGATAGATTCTAATAATCATTGTGGGTCTTCAATGAATCAACTTTATGCGGTAACTAATTACTTATCATCATTAATTAGTGTCTCAAAAATAATCAACACCATCAACATCCTGCAAGATACAGCTCGTTGGGCTGATATGAAAACTTCCTCTGTGAACAGATAATTTGTTTTGCAGTGATGTCAACACCGTTAACCTCTCGTTAAAAGAGCTGCAGGTGATTGTGCGTCGTGGATTATTTACAGCAGCATCTCATGCAACTGAAACACACTGAAACACACAGAATCACACTGAAACACCCTGAAACACACTGGAAGACATTGAAACACACTGAATCACCCTAAAACACACTGGAAGACACTGAAACACACTGGAAGACACTGAAACACACTGAAGACTGTCCTCGATTTCGCTTTAAACCTAAAACTTCTTGTGCCTCCTCTGTTTGGAAGTTCTGCAGCACCTGACAGACTCCCGTGCACCGCGCGCGCTGCAGAACACAAACTCTTGGACGTTTTTCATTCGCACGCAGTAAAGCGCACGCGCTCCCAGCGCCGCACAAACAGCCACAGCACATTTCCCCCGCGCCTCCTACCTTGCTGATCGGGTCTGAAGGGCCGATGTTGGGTTTTATTCCCGCGCGTAAAAAGTTTTTCGATCCTTACTCCTTCGCGCCATGCGTCCAGACAAGCAGCTCCATCGGCTCCTCAGCACAGCCTCGCTCCCACACACACACACTCGGTCTGTTCGCCTCAACAGGCACCTACACGAAAACTGAGCCCCTCCAGCGGTGACATCACCAGTCACCATGGCAACTGACTCCACCCCGGTCCGGAAACTGGACTTACCTGTCTGACTGCCTGCATTTCAAAACAAACTCTTCCCACCCCTCCCAGGAGTCCTGCACAGCAGATCACACACACACACACACACACACACACTACCTCTTCAGAAATAGAATTTTAAAAAAATGCACTGACAGCAGAACAAGTTGTTCACAAACTGTTTGATGAGTTTGCACCTTTTTATTTGACATAGTTTTTATCCTTCTTTAGTTTTGAGATTCTCTTGTTTTGTTGTTTTTATTCATTGTATTCATTTGCTGCTTTCTGCTTAATTCTTATTATTTAATTCTAATTATCTCAAGGCACTTTACATAGAAGATCAAGACTGTAAAGATTTATAGAGAAACCCAACAGTTCCCACAATGTGCGAGAGAGAAACCTCCGGCAGAACCAGAGGCATTCACAGCTACACAGAAATCTCCAGAGCGCTCAGGTGAAGGGTGGGGCAGCAGGCAGAGGGAGGAGGTTACATTTACAGTATATTCAGCTGCGGAGATCACAGGTTTTTGTTTCCAGCACATCAACACCAGTGAGTTTAACATCAAATGTTCTGTTGACATCCTCGTCTGTGTCTTCTAAGTGTGTGGCACCTTTTTTTCATCCTGAGATTTTTGTTTTATTCACATCATAGATACCCCCACTCACTCGAGTTGAATCCCAGGGTTGATTTCATGCTGTGCTCTCACATCGGCTCCTTCAGACATTGTGCAGACCTTTTAACAAGGGACTGGCTGTAGAGAGTCTGCAGGCTCTCACTCGGACATTTGCATTCCCTCATACAGCCCCTCGGGTTCAGTGCATGTCTGAAAGCAGCTATAGAGTAACACTGCCCTCCCGGATGCCTGATATTACCTATGCAAATTCTTGATCAATGCAGTGGATTGGAGCAGGGTTCATTTTGCATGTGGCATCTGAAAAACAGCACACCAAATCCCGCTTGCACAATGCCTGGTACTATCGCCTGCAGCTCCCCTGTGGCTCGGTGCCAGCCTCACCATTACCTCGATTGTTTTGGCTACAAAAGCCAGCTTGCCCCTCCCCTTTGTCTCCTCTGACCTGAAGCAAACACACAGACAATGACCAGGTAAAGTCAAATGTCCACCTCAACAGAGTGGCCCTCCCCCCGTCGAATCACTCCACCTCAAAAAAATGCTGACGGCACAAGGAGACTTTATAATCTGTAGAATCTCCCTCTCAACCCTGGATGTTTACTTTATCCATCACGCTGTCCTCAAGAATAAACAAACCATGTCTGAAGCTATAAGCGAGTCCACTTATGGTGAAAACAGGCTTTAAAGTGTGCAGGCGATTCAAACTGCTTGTGGTTAGCATGTTTTCTACTCCTGTACAAAAACACCGCCTCACTGTTTCACAGCAGCTGTGGGAGGGAAATGTGACAGGCAGATTTATAGAAAAGATTTCACATGTAACCTGCAGCAGAAAAAAGGGAGGAGGTAGTTTTGCAAAATGCATTGTTGCCTCAGTCTGCAAAGGGAAATTAAAGCAACTATAACTCAAAGACAAAACACTATGAAGATGTTGTACCAGACTGAACTGAACTACAAATGATATAAGATCGTCTACAATGGACATTCAAGCTGCATTAAGAGTTTTGGTGATTTAGGGGACAGAGAAACCAGCAAAAACATTTGCATTTGACATTTTATTATCTTATAAAGTTGTTATTGTATAAACTTTTTGTTCAGTTAAGTCTGGCCAACTAACAAATCAATTATTCATTCTCCTTTTATTTCAGTTTTGTCTCCACCAACTTTATTAGCTCTTTGGTGTTTTAGTGCTTTTTCACTGCTTTAACGAACCAAACTTAAGTCAGATCAAAAGAGAAGAAAAGAAAGAAAGGGTCTTGGTCAGGATTAAAGTTAATCATGGTTCACTTCATTTGCAGTGTGAAAAACGTTTTGAGAAATTTCAAACCTTCGGACCAATGACAGGAAGTTGAGACAGTATTAAACAACAGAAGAAGAAAAAGAAGCAGAGGCCTTACTGGTCTCTACAGAAACGTGAAACCAGAACTAACCCGATGTAAAACAATGTGACACATACATGGACCTTAGTTCAGACTCTCAGGTGAAGTCTTTAGATCCATTGGTAATATATCAGTAAGTGCATCTTTATCATCAATATACTGTAATGTTTTAAACGCTTTATAATTCAAACCAAACAATGAGATCCCAACATTCCACATCACAGCCTCTCTGACTGACCTGCTCCCGCAGCCTCTCCTGGTGGCCCATGATCGCTGATGCATGATGGGGGTATTTCTGCTTCAGATGCTCCAGGAACGCCTCCCTCTTCTTGTCCATGTCTGGCGGCTGCATAGCGAGGATCTCTCTGGGGCCGCGGGCTCCCCCTAACGTGTGCCTCCGGGGGACAGTTCGACTGCCTTTGGCGTCTCCTCTCAATGGCGACGTCCCATTCGGGGAGGCCTGTCGGCGGCCTACGTGTTCGGCATCCTCTGGTGAGGTTACCTTCAGGTTGCTCTTGTTTTGTTCTGAGGGAGAACAGAGAGGAGAGGGGTCAAACACACATGTTCCATGCTGATGTTTTGACATCAACAACAAGTGCGTGCACATATGTTGTGCTTCCTTCGGTCATGAGGGCACGAGAGAACAAATTCAACGATCTTATACAGAGAACTTTAAAAAAAAACTGTGAGCTTCTCTTTTTACAGTAACACCCCCCACGAGAGAAAAGAGAAAACTGATATTCAAAAAGATGTTAATAGTTTCTCCAGAAGCAAAACTGAAACAAACATTGTCTGAGCACGGTTCATTATGTATTCATGCTCTTTTATATTTCAACAATAAAACCCAAATTGAATGCAACTGTCGAAGTGCTGGTGATGAAAACACCAACTTGAAACAGCTGTTACAGCCACAGATCCATTAATGTGGGGCGACACAAACAGAGAGACATGAAAATGAACTCCAGAGCATCTGTTTATTCACCCGGAACACTGAGGCCGAGCAGAAACAACCAGGTGCAGGTACAGGGAAAGATTTTACTTATTACAGCAAAGCAGAAGGCCTGCGTCTCCAATATTCTGCCAGTCAGCAAACCGTCCACTTTATGAAAACAACAATGAAGTGTTGAAGATGGATATTTGATTTCAAAGCAGAGTGGAGATAAAGTAAACACAACCTCCTTTAGGCACATGAACATCTTCGCACTTTGTTATCGAATCGATCTGGGCCTGAGGGCGCACACTTGTGATCCATCAATATGAGAGATAGTGTATGGAGAGGAGAGGAGAGAAGGAGGAGAGGAGGAGGAAAGAAGCAATAAGCCTGTTTTCCAGACAGGCAGGTATAATGTGCACCTTTCAGAGGGTAATGGTGGAAAATGAAGGACCACACATGGAGTTTAGCTCCTCAACGTTTGAAGGAGGATATTTTAAGTGATTTTCAACAATTTAGTGAGAGGAAAATGTGACTTTTCTTTCCTTCTCTGAAAGCTTGAAAACATACCATGAGCCACAGATTGAAAAAAAAAAAAAAGGAATTTCTCTTCTCCTCTCAAAGACGTGTTGGGACTGAGACGAAGGTTTAACTCAGGGGTGTTAAAACACACTCTCATTAGCTGCAGCGGTTGAATTCCTACTTGTTTTCCTGTGCCGGGAAATTTCATTCCATTTAATTCCTACGGCTTTTTCAAAACACAAAAGTGCTTTGGTCGGTAAACACAAAGACGCAGAATCACGTCACCTACACCATCAGCGCAAACCCCAACCCTGCCCAGGCTCAGAGCCCCAGCACGTCTCATGTACTTCCAATCCTATTTTTAACTCCCAAACACACTTTACCCCCACTGCCAACCGAATTACACTCAGCAGACAGAACAGACTCAAACCGCCGAAGGATCTGACTTTGTTTGCAGGTGGCATGTCAGAACGCTTATTACCTTCCCCATGCGAACAATCTTTGTCTTCATCTGCTAGTTCTTCCTCCATTGCTCTTTGGGATCAACACGGCGCGAGGCTGGGAGAATCGGCTATAACTGCTTGCTTAGAGATTCCAGACGTGGCTCACGTGGAAAAGGGGGCTTGAGATAGGCCCTGCCCCACAGCCCCAGGATAGACTGGTGGGGATTTAGAGAGTCAACTGCATTCCAGGACACAGAGTGACTGGGCCTTCACCCTCAGGCTAAAAACTCTTCTGCTAGTGGTCAAAGGCTGAATGCAAATGTGCGAGTTGGAGACATGGAGCACTTAAAAGAAGAAAGTGATGAGAAACACATTGTCTCCTCTTTGAACAGGACCCTGTCACTAACAGGTGTCAGTAAAACTGTCCGACACAGACACACACACGTATGTACACACAGTCTGTGCTTTATCAGGACTTTGTCTGCAAGCTCTCAGCAGTACGGCAGCCGGCTAATGTGTGATTGAGTTATCTGATCAATGCAACCGAATGAAACAAGCGCCAGTCCTGCAGGCGGTGTTGTTTCCAATTAGGAAGCTCACGGGAGACGCAGCAGTGTTTCTGTTTGCGTCCGCTCCGGGAGTTCGTGGAAGCAGCGCTGCCCTGTTGCCTGACAGTTAGCAAACATTCTCATCTGCTACATACGTTGTGCAAACATGTCAGTGTGTACATGTATGATGTATATGCATGTGTGTGTGTGTGTGTGTGTCGAGGAGGAAGAGGGGGGAAGGGCCGCCGCTGGGCATTTCTTTGCAGCTGCTGATGTAAGGGACCCGATCTACATGTGCAGGAAGACGTCGGCACAAACTGACGAAAAAAAGTGAGGGGATCAATGGCCTAGTTTGTGGGCCATGTAATTGAAAGTGGTGCGATGAGCGCATGAACAAACACAATGCAGCAGCTGACGGGATAATGTCTAACATATGGAGACAAGTCTGCTTCCACCCACTCTGTGTCTGACTCGCTCACATGTTTCTCCACAACAGAAGAGGTCGCCTCATTTCATCGTACTGTGGAATTGACTTAGCTTAATGCAATGTTAACTCTTATCTCTAATGTTTATTCAATTCCAGGTGTAGCATTGTGGAGGAAAAAGTTGTTTTCTTTGAGGAACAAACTTTGCCTCAAACTGCTTCATCTACTTCTTGGTAAGTCAGTGATTTCCTATGTATTCCAGAAACCCCCTCAGAGAACAGGCTCGAACATGTTGCAGTCAATGATAGCTTTAAGAGCAGATGGCGAGCGCGGCGGCTTTGTGTGGTTGTGTTTTACTCTGCATGATCAGCGCAAGCAGGAGGAATGAAGAGTCCAGAAACAGGAGCGTGTTAAGTTTTGCTTTGTTTTCTATGAAATAAACTTTAAAAAGTCTAAAAGTAACAATCAGATTTTTGTGCCTATTCATTCAACACAACTTTCCTTTAACATTCAATATGCAACTTCATCCACTAGGAGTCTCTCAATCAAAACAAAAGGCAGCTTGGGTTCATGGGAGTTTTTGTCTTCATCACCATAGTGGATGAAAATCTGCCTGATGCAACTCAGGCGCCAATCAAAGACGATATGATGCAATTTAAAAGGCGAGAAAAATGAAACTTGCAGTTACCTTGAATAAGAAAACTGCAATTTTCCTCTGGATTCCTCTGGGTCTGAACATTGTTGGAAACATTTTGGATAATTGTACACAAGTCAACAAAATATAAAACATAGGTTGAGTCGTTTTCAGACATTGTTATATATTATTTATTTCATATCTTTCTTTGTTTGGATGGAAACAAGTTTTAACAAAGCAAAACTAAAATATGGTCTGAAATTTGAAATGCTGCCTTTTTCTGTAGAAAAGTCACAGAAGACTTTGTTTTGCAGTATCAACAGTGAGTTTCCGTGTCAAACGTGTCCTGGTGTGACAGTGACACATACATCATCCCAACAGGTCAGTCCCTGTCGAGGCAAACTGATAATTAAAGCAGCTCCTCCGAACCGGCAATTACACCCTGTGGTCCGAACAACCTGCCCCGCTGCACTTTTCCTGTCAGCAGTCCAGGCCTGAAAAAATGACCTCCTTGTTTCAGGATGTCACCGGGGATCTGCAAGTGAATCACGTCTCACTTCAGCAGCTCAAGAACGTCGCCCCCTCTTTCGCAGCTGCCCGTGTTGAGTAAATGACGGTCGCCTCATTTGAAAGACAACGTCAAACACCTGCCCATGAACACCCGGCCGGGTCCTACGAGGAGGCGCAGGGGCCTCCTGCTGTTTACAGCTACTTTCTGGTTGTCGCTTATTTATGTAGGAATGTATCCCTGGTCGCACTCCCACTCTCCCCTACTATTACTGTCCCATAACTATGCAGTTAGATACAAAGCCCTGTTGTGTGCAGTAAAAGCAGCGCTCACATAGCGATAGCCTGAAGCCATGAATGCACGTCCTCACAACAGCACTGGACACTGTTGACTATCTGACAGAATTCTTATTATGTAAAAGTTATCGCAGTCGTTACATCAGATGATCCGTTCATGTGGAACTGAGCCTGGTGTAATATGATTAGAATAGAAGCAGCTCCTAATATACTGTAATAACATCCATTTTAACATTAAGTCGGTTACTAAGACTTTAAATATTGCTGGAGAGAAAATCCGCTGCCAACGGAGGGAAAGAGTTTCAGTCTCATAACAATTGTCCGTCTGTTTGTCTCAACACATCCAAACTAGACTGAACATGAAGATGGACGACGGTGGATAGTGGGAGGAAGTGGAGACGTGTCGTTCATCTTTATCGCCAAATAAGAGGTAGATTTCCGTACAATTACAAAAAGGCACTTTGTTCCAGAGGATGTTTTCGTACGACTTTGGGGATCGCCCCATATTTACATTTAGTGCCACAAGCAATTTCCACTAATTTGGTGAAATGTCTCAACATCCATTTTGGTGACAGGCACAGTTCTTCAGATGTTGCTCCAGGCAATTCACGACTTTTGTGTTGACCTTTCACGGTGAGGTTGTCATTTCTATTTTTAAAAATCACTTCACTGAAATGATTTGTAGTTTGGTCACTTTTTTCCTGAGCTAAAGAACCACATGAAAATTCAAATGCAGTCCAGTGGGTGTTTGGTTTATTGAAGAGTGGCAACCGACATCAAGGTGCATTACACCGATCCAACAGGAGGAGGCTAATGTGTGTGCGTCAGTGGTGGTGTCCAGCTACACGCCTGCAGAAAAAGAGAGACAGATTTGTACACGGACTTCTCATTGAGCGCTGATTCCACTCAACACCTCTCCACTCTGGAGGTGAGCTGCACCAGACCTAGAAACTGTGTCTGGCAATCCGGCCTGGCCACATTTTTCACGCCACACGCACAAAAACACAGACATTCACACACTGACATTCACACGCAGGAAATATCTCACATCCGATCTGGGTGTCTGCTTCATTCTGGTGCCTGTTCAGCTCGTATGAAAAAACCTGCAATTTTCAAGTCGTGTCAACACTTATGGATTTTTGCGCACAATGGCAAAAACAGTCGTCTCGTGAAAAAGATTCAAGAGAGGCGACGAGGGGGGAAGAATGGAAACCTCTC